TCAGGGGTTACATGAGAGGTGTCAGAGTAGGCCCCTTATGAGCGGGGTTCCACTGGGGTTAGTCCTAGAGTTTTGTGCTGTTTGTGGTATGTGAATAAACATGAAAAAGAGACAGATTTAGAGGTGTCCCTGTTTGCAGACGTTGTAAAGCAAAATGTGAAAAATTCAATCTGATGAGGATCAAGCAGGTCTACAAAGGGATCGGGGACAGGTTGCAAGCCTGGTCCGCAACTGGCTTCTGGAGTTTAACCCTACCAAGTGCAAGGTCATGAAGACTGAGGAAGGTGAAAGAAGACTGCAGAGTACAGGCTAGTGAGGCCAAAGACTGCAAACTTCATCCATGGAAAAGGATCTTGGGGTGAGTATAATACCAAGCACATTCCCGAGGCACAGATCAACCAAAAAAAACTGCTGCAGCATATGGGCACCCCAGCAAACCTAAGAACAGAGTTTCAACACCTTAGAAAAGGAATCGTTAAAGACTCTGTACATCGTGTATGTCAGGCATATATGTACTTGAGTATGCAGCACCAGTAGGGAAACCCAACACCTGGTCAAGCATGTCAAGAAATTAGAGAAAGTGCAAAGGTTTGCAACAAACTAGTCCCGGAGCTAAGGGTATGTCCTACGAGGATAGGTTAAGGGAAATCGACTGACGACCTGGAGGAGAGGAGAGAGAGGGGAACATGATACAACATACCAAAATACTGAGGGGAAATTTGAAAGGTAGATAGGGACAGGATGTTTCAAAGATGGGACACAGCAACAAGGGGTCAAAAACTGAAAGTTGAAGACTCAGATGAGTCCCAGGATGTTAGGAAGTATTTCTTCTGCCACAGAGTTGTCAGGAAGTGGAACAATCTGGAGAATGATGTAGTGGAGGCAGTAAAACCCTACATAGTTTTAAAAAGAGATACTAAAAATTGTAGTAACCAGCAAAGAGGCGGGCCAAAGCTGTAAATCGACCACTGCAACCACGAATAGGTAATACAAATAGGAAATACACACACACAGTACAGTATGTAGATTTAACAGGTAACCCAGCAAAGTCAAACAATGTAAGTTTATTTAGGTACAGGTACACATAAGTACAGCTATCATACATTTTTTAACATGTGTAAATTACTTAAGATAACCCCAAAAAAGTAAATGGAAATAAGTCACTGTCTGACTTTTTTTTTTTGGGGGGGGGGGATGTTATCCAAGGTAATTCAAAACACATGTTGCTAAGTATGATAGCCTGAAATCACAGAACCAATTTGATACTCCTCGAGAAATCCCAATTAACTTACGAACACTAAATCAATTTTAAGTATTCATACACACTTAATTGTGCCCATTGTAATATTTTTTTTGAAATCCCTCTACCAACAGACCCCTGGCAGTCTTCAAGCTGGCACTGGAAAAAGCACCTAAAATCGGTTCCTGACCAGCCGGGCTGTGGGTCGTACGTTGGTTTGTGTGCAGCCAGCAGTAACAGCCTGGTTGATCAGGCTCTGATCCCCCAGGAGGCCCCGGTCACAGACCGGGCCGCGGGGGCGTGACCCCGGAACTCTCCCCCAGGTAAACTATAAATTTTTTATTTTTTTTTGCTGACCTCTTTTGTAATGTATAATTTAAAAAATTTAACCCCTCCATAATCTGTATTTAGTTTTTAGTAGTATGTAAACATTAAGATTAGTCTGCCCGAAATGTTGATGCATGTTAGTGGCTTTCTTTGTGCTTAACAATATTTTACCACATGTAAACTACACATGGTATACTACGCAAAGAAATAAATATTTGAATTTGATTATTGTATCTGTACTTAAATAAAGGGGACCTTTTGTATGACCAGGGCAACACATCAACGATCAAAAATCACTAGCAAACTCTAAATCATTTTTTTTCCCGAAATATACGAAAGGAGAGCCAATAAGTTCAATTTTTTTCAACTCGCAGACTCTGCCCCCTTTCCCTGTCCGTCAATTCTAGCCTCCTTCCACTCTCCAACCTCTCGTTCCCCATGGACTAGACCTCTGTATCCTCTTTTCCCATTACATTTTGCGTATCATTTGTGATCATCAGCGGGCTCGCGATTCCCCTTTCCCTTCCTTCCTTCCCTTCCTTCCCCCCCTTCCCCTTTCCCCTTCCCCCCCCCCCCTTCCCCCTCCCCTTCCTTCCCCCCCCCTTCCCTTCCCCTTCTCCTTTTCTTCTGTTGTTCCCCTCCTGTTGTTATGCGTTTTTCCTGTTATTGTTGCTGCTCTTTCCCCCTGTTTTTACTGCTGTGGCTCGTCCTCCTGTTGCTCTGGCTCGTCCTCCTGTTTTACTGCTGCTGCTGCTACACTCCCGTT